TTGCTCTAATGACGTTAACTGAACTTGGCATCATTAACCCTCCTCCTTTCACTTATAATTTTTTCTCCAATTTATTTTGAGGAAGGTTTACCAGTCCAACTGCAGTTCAAATCCGACATTCTGTGAAAAACTTGAGCAGAATCTTTGTCAAAGCTTTAAGTGAATGTTTAACAAGTAGAAAGTTAGGAAAATGGTACGGTGAGAATACGAAATGAGTATTTTTCCTGAACTGGAGCTGTGCATGTAATTGTATGTTGTTTTCACCTTCAACAGCTTCCACTTACATATGATTATTCCTTCTTCTGCCTCTCACTTACTGCTACAGTAATTGAAAGAGCGGAGGTGCCTGGCATTGCAGTCATTAGATGATATCTCTGTAGACAGAGTAGAAATAACACAACAGAGTACCCTGGGTCAGAAAATGGACCATTAACAGGAAGAGAGAGGAAGGACGCGAAGGAAATCCAATTCCACTGCGCAGTGCAAGCCTGGGCTCTACCCCCATGTGAGGGAGGTACTCTAGTAGTGGTTTATACCACCAAAGAGAAACGTCTCAAGTAGGAGCCCCAAGACCAGTGAAGGGAACTAATTGCAATCACCAACTCACAGACCACATTTGGAATGCAGAGCCCTCTTGAGAACAGCCTTTTTTCACTTAGTGATCAGAAATACCCTAATGTAGACATTCAGGCAACATAAGCAAATTAGTATCCTTCTCCAGTTATACAAGCAAAAGGCTCCTCTGCTGACCAAGTGGTTATGACTAGATAAATAATGGTTCTGAACAGATAAAATAATTTCTACTGGACATCATTTAGCATAATGTATGAAATCTGTATTATCTCATTTTCAAAAGGTACAAAAGCCCCATTCAATGCCAACAGAAACTATGGCTGATGAACACAGCTGAAATCCAAGTCACTTACAGATAAGCATACTAAATTCTACTTACCAACATTAAAGCACTATTACTGCAAAACAACACACAAAATAACCTATACAGTTTTAGCCGATTTACAAGCCACCAGCAAAAGGAATATACGTGACAGTTTTTTTCAGTACAGGAACCTAATGCTCATCCTCACAGCAAGACAGAGTTTTTTATTACCAATTAAATGACCTAGAAAAGCAGCATGGCAGCTACTTACCAGTAGTGCTATATAACAATTTAAACAGGGAGTGGTGAATACCATATCCAATCAAAACTGCTGCGGGACTTTAAAATAGCAAAATGTATTTACACAAACTGGTATTTAGCTGGCAAAGACTAGTACATCAATGCTTTGGGGAAATACACTGAACTCTAAGGAGGGCAAGTAATGATTTTACTTTGAAGGATCTTCTAAAAAACATTACCAGAACACTACAAATGACTACACGTGAGTCACCTAATAGACTCATTCAACAGTGACTAAAAAGAAAAGATACTGTCTGCTTGCAGAGCTGCTTCTTAGGGTATCTCAAAGTCTCAGTACTGAAAATGGGGAAATTCCTTTCCTCTGAGTACCAGTTCAATTCTCTTCAGTTCAAGATCTGACCGAACAAGCAGGCAGAAGAGCTCTGTAGCCCAAAGCAGGACTACATACAGAGCACTGATCTTCTATGCCCAGGGGAGTGCAGTGGCCCACTATTCCCACAGACAAGCAGTAATAGAAACAGGATTGAGAACAATTAGAAAATGGTACTGTTCTGTCTATTTTTTAACATTACTCCAAGATGTAAAGGGTATCTTTTAATCCTCTGTGTGTGTTGAATGCTCCCTCGTGTAGCTGTTAGAATGATCCTAACAGATGATGATTCTTTCCCATCTTGGATAACTAAGCTCAGAGACCAGTCACTTCATTTTTGAGTGTCTACACTCCCGGGGATGTTTACATCACCTAAACACACAGGCATCTACCTTCAGTGCCACATTAGACTGGGGATCTTGACATCGGAGAGACTCATCAAAAAGGCCGATTCAAACATGTAAACGAGAATGGTTTTTTTCAGCTGACTATACAGAGATTCTCAGCATTTCACCTGGCACCTAGATAACACGTCCACCGTTATCCTATACTTTAAAGCACTCTCTTGAGTAAAGACAAATAAAGACAGTAAAGATCTGCACATACACTGAAAAGACGCTTGCACTGGCACAGTACCTCACCCCTTGTAGGCTGTGTTTTAGCTTACTCCTAAGATGCAGATACACCGCATCACACTCGTTCAGCGGCATGTGTCAGACCCACTATATGAGCATGGTGTCTGTCATGTTTGCAGAGTAGGACCGATGCTTTCTAAAAATATTGGACTCACTGCACACATACACTGTATAGTTAAGGCTGCAAAGGTGCTGCTTGATGGTTCTGGAGTTTTGATCTATGGCAACCTGGTCAGAATAATTTCCCCTGAGCAAATACAGGAAAGCCCCAAATTCTACTCAAAATTTATGGTGAGGACAAGGGAAACAAAACAAACAAACAAAAAGGCACAAACAAAAACCCCAAACAGGACTTTTCCAGAGGAACCCCAGAGAAATGCCAACCCCCTCACAAACAATCTCCAGGCCAGAGTCAGAGAGAGGATCCCATTCTCCAGGCTCAACCAGAAACTTGGTTTTTTCACTATGTAATTTCTAACACCTCCAACAAATTGAGCAGAAATTTTACAGCCTGCTTCAACCATGCAGCCCTGATTCAATTTCATTCTTTGTGCTGAATGAAACAACTGCCTTTGGGGAAAAAAGCTGCTGGTGAGTCATCAAGGACTGCATCGTAACACGTACTAGGGGAACGGAGAGAAGCAAAAGGAGGTTTCTTAGGCAACCTTTATTCTGCAACTTCCTAATGTTTGAGCGTTTGAATTCTAGTATTCTTTTAACATAAGAAATAATACTTCTTTGTGGCTTTTTAAATACTAGTTTCTGTCACTTAAAATTTAAACTTCTAAAACAATTGCAATGACAGCACTTGTTCTCATATACCCTCTCTAATGCAAAATATTTTTATTGATACTTCTTTTTATAGAGCAGGAAATAAAGAAAAACTAGTTGAATGTGGCTATATCTTGTATTAGAGACCAATTTACTAACTGCTTTAAAATATTTGCTGCATAGGAAATATTATGTATGCTGCATGTAAATATTATTCTAATTGCATTAATTTGATAGTAGGTGAAATCACATGACATTACTAGATAGCTAATCTAGGTTTGTATCCTAGTAGTGTTCTGAGACAGCTGACTGAAGCACTGAATGGTAAAGCTGTAAGTTTTGAGTAAACATACATTCCAGTTAAAAAGATTGTATCAAACTCTCTGCTCCTTCCTCTTCCTGCCCGCCCCCCTAGTGGGTGCATGTCTTTTGCTGTTGGAAAACAATGGAGAAAATTAAGAAGTTTCACCTGCAGCTTTCAGTTATGTACAACTAGAGGTATTTCCCAATACGTTCTCGTTTCCTCCTTCTCTTTGAAAAACAAAGAAAACAAGAAAAGGAGGCCATCTGTTGTAGGTAAAAACATAGCTTAAATTAATATAAAGGCACAAGACAAAACCACTAATTATAAGGTGCTGTGCTTCTGCACATTCACTATTGAGATTGGGAAAGTCAGGGACTTGGAGCACCAGAAAGGAGGCTGCAAGGAAGGTTTCCTGGTGAGAAGTAACATTCTTGGAAAGAATAAGGGGCTGGAGAAACAGAAGGTGAAGATCATGGAAGGGGGGGATGATCCTGGAGCTCAGCGAGCTGCACAGAAACAAATGCCAAAGGCTGCCCAGGGACACTGGCCAGTGGGACCTGAGGCTGTTGACTATGAGCAGCTGCACAGCACAAAGGCAACTTTCTGCCCAACCCTCCTGACAGCAGCGATCTCCCTGCTAGGAAGGGAACCTGAGGCTACATGAACCTAACACTGCTGGCAGGGAGAAAAGTAGGTAAGTGCATGAAATTATGAGGTAGGATAAGAGCTCAGATCTTGGTGGTTCTTAAATAAACCCCACTATCCAGATCTACAATGGGCTGTCATTCATTCTGTCTCCCCTGTGACCCAACCCCCCTTATCAATATAAATAACTCTCCCATCACATTAAAATTGTATACACTGGCTTTATCTACTTTGAAACCCAGTTCACCATCCCATGCCTGATAACTAAGGGAGTAAGACCTGTATTCTCACCCCTGTTTTCCTGCGGGCTAGGGCTTTCTTGGAAGGAAATCTTTCTGAAGGTGCTCAGAGCCAGAGGAAGTTACAGGATGCTCCATTGTCTCTCCCCACACTGATGATCAAGGGACCAGGACCGGAGACGCTGGAAAGCAGGATGCATCCGAGAGCGTGCTTGTCCTCTAGTGTGCATACAACTAGAATTTATCAATTTTATCTGTATAAATTATTTTAATAAGCAGGATATTTTCAATTCAATAAGCAGTATTCAGGAATACACAGAAAAATATCTGGCATTTGAAAATTATCTGTGCAAATACTTATTCGAACTATCTTAATTTACTCTTCATCAATGCTGATATCCTCTTATATGCTGCTGAAACGCTGAATTGTCCAATTCTTACTTAAACAACATATGCATTGAAAGCTTCTTAAAAAAACCTCAAAAAACAAGAGACCAAAAAAACTCCAACTCCTCAAAAACAGAAAAAAAAACCCACTCCTAGACTCCATACTTTCCCCACAGTTATAACCAGAAGACCTGAGGATAAGAAAGGATAAATGTAAGCAGCTCTGGTAGTCTGACCCGCAGTCAAATGTCCTTTTCACTAAACAGCATACAAAGCATAATGAATACTTTTGGCCCAAATCAACAAAATATTTAAGAATGTACTTGAATAATTTTCTCGCTTACAGTTATTTTCTTAAATCTAGCTTAATACTGTCAGGTTTGCTAGCAGTTTTTGAAACAGTTATTTCATTTTCTTTTAATTTACTGCTGTACTTCAGTTTTCAGTGTAATTTGGATCATGAGAAATGTCTTCTATTTTAACAGTTATAGTCTGAATCATTATCAATTAACCAGTCAAGCCACAAAATGCTGACTCCTTTATTTCCCCCATCATTGTAATTTCCATCTTAGAGGAAGAATTCTGTTAAACACGAGAGGTATTTCTATAATACAAGATTATAGACTACTACAAGAACAACCACCACTTTACAGTTTTTAACGCCTAGATAATTTTCAAAACTGCATGTCTGCATTTTTAAAACCCGAGAGTACCAGAGAGAGAGAGAGAGAGAGAGAGAGAGAGAGAGAGAAGATCAACTAAGTAACAATTAAAAAAAAAAGCTGTCACTGTCCACAGGAACCATGTCTAGTCACGTTTTCAGTCAGTCAGTCAGTCAGCTGAGGGTCATGTCATTATTTAGTTTCTGTAGAAAAAAAACACAAGTACAAAAATAGTATCAAAAAGCAACATACCTATTTTAAAATACATATATTAGAAAACATAACAATCACAACAGCATATAAATAAGGCTTTTAATATATTTAGAAGAATAATATTAAAATTTTATATATGCTTCTCTCGCATTTAAAGTACCACCTCTTTTTCTGAGCAGTGTGTGAAAGCCAGCAATTTTTCTGCAGTATACTGTTGATACAAAATATAGTTAACTTTTTTATTCTGGAGATATTTCAACCATGATACAATTACCTTTTTTTAAAACATTTTTGCACAGAAACAGAACATTATAAACATACATGTGAAAACTTTATTAAAATCCTGAAGTTTAACTAAAAAAGAATGCAAATCAAATCAGTGATGCAGGACTTTTTCAGGACAAGGATAACAAAAGACAACAATAACCAAGTATTTCATGACAGAATAAGTGTTTTTCAACTTTGTAAGTAACTAAATAATTATTTAAGAACACCACCAAACATTTTCAGAAGGGGAAAAATGCAACAAATCCATTTGCTGTGGGTTAAAGCCAATCAGCAATGATTATTAAGAGCCACAGAATCCGGCCCTAGATATACGTGTTCTGCATTTCTAATATAGTGCTAGTCAGAAGCTCTGTTTTGTGAAAAATGTTTGGGGTGGGTTTGGGGGTTTGGATTTTTTGTTTGACATTCTTCTGAAAGATACCAAATTCTTTCCTTCCTCTTCTATTTTTGAGTGATATAATTTACACGACAGGCATCAGACAATTGCAGTGAGGTTCTCATGAAATACTCAAAGCAATGCAAAAACCTGACTAGAGAGCACAAGCTGGTCAACGCCAAGAACATTAAGAGAGCTTCTGCTTTTAGCAACTGCCTAGAAGTAGACACTGTAGTTGTCTTCTCAAGCCTAAACCATCTTGCTTTGAGTCGGTGAAAAGTGATTATTTCAACCATTAATTATTAATTATTTCAACCAACTTAGCATAAGAGGGGAGAACCTCACACACACACCCCCCAAAAGAAAACCCAAACAACTTACATTAGAACTTAAAGCAGTTAAGAGAACCTTATTGGTCTGTATTTCCATTATTTTCTCTGCTACTTTTAACTACTCATATAAACAATTGAATTTTCATTGACTTGTAGGAGAGTCAGAGCCTGCAAAATTCATTAGATGGATTAGCTTAGAATATTAATACACATGTACTCAAATTCTCCTGATAAACAAAATTGTTGTTGTAAGATAGTAGACTGTTCTTATGATCAGAAGTTTACATCACAAGAGCATTATCAGTGGCATACCGTTACCATAAAACATTTTTAAGAAACTATTTTGTAAGTTATATTAAAAAAAAAGATGATTTACATGAGAAAAATATTATTGGGGAAAAAACTTCAAAGAGTCAGATAAAAACTGCATTGAAATAATAAATATTTTATTTAAATTTAATTAGTCAATTGAATTACATTTATTTTCATATAGATTTTATTGAATTCACACATCTTAACACCAATTTTAATCACAGAACCTTGTATAGAAAGGACTATTGCAAAAATCCAGTCACCTTGTTAGAGATAAGAGGCAAGCAATACAACAGGACTTAAAAAAAAAAAATCTTTTCTAAAGAGGCGATGACTTCCTTAAGTGAAAACTCACAGAAGTTTTAGCTAAGAAGATTATTTCCTCCAGCTAAAATTTAAAAAGAAAAGTTATTCTCACATCTTCAAAAAAAAAAAAGTACTATTTCGGAGGGAGAGAGAATTCCAACCCCTTTCACATGCACAATTTAAAGCTTTAACTGAAAGCAAAATATAGGCCTCTAAACTACTGAACTTGTTTGCCAGTCAGTCCAATGCAGAGTCACATAATGGTAAGCTTGATTTAAATGGGAAAGCCCTTTCAAAAAGGAGCACAGATGGAATCTTTCTTTTTATGTACCATTTCATCTGAATTTGAGAAACTGGCTAAAAGACAAAAAAGAGCAAGTGATTTTGTCTGTCTATGCTAAGAAGAGAGAGATGCTAAGACAAGCTGCTAAGAGACTCAGAATCAAGAATGTGATGTACAGGATGTAACAAGATGCAACAGAGTAAATTTAGAAAGCTCTTCTACCTGTGTTATTGCACGGACACAGCAGATGAGAGGCTAAAGAGAGGGGAAATATTCAGCAGACATTTGCACCAGAATTACAGGTAATCTGTCCAGGACAGCTTTAGGGTGTTTGTCTTCGAAGAAACTAAAACTAGTACTCTTTATTATTTGAAAATTTACAGAAATGCAAAAAACTAGGAAAGGACAAAGAGCTCTGCTGTAATTTTGCATGTGTAAAAAGATTATTCTTCAAATATGACCTAATTTCTCCAGTTTTCTAATTAGGTAAAATGGCACAACAGCAAATGTTTATGTCTTACCCTCACCTTATAAGGGAGTTCAGGTTTCTAAATAGTCAGTAATAGGCATATATTAGAACTTTTGAACATAATTTGAAACATGAAGTAAGTTTTAGCCTTTTGAAATTCCCATTTGGTGACCAACTGCACCTTTTGTAAGCTGGAGACCTTAAAGAATCTTCTCAAAAAAAAAAAAAAAAAAATCACACTGGAAAGATGTGTGCCTGTGTATGCATGCACACCTGTGTGTGTGAATAAAAAAAAAAAAAACAGTTTTAGACTGACAAACAGAAGAGAACCTCCCAGTCTTCTCACTCTTATCTTTCTTAAAAACAAAGAAAGAAAAAGTAAGGATAAATCATCTTTCTGATTTTGGATGCATATTGTACCTACACTTTTCTAGTAAAAAGTAGTCAAGGCATACCTGGTATTACATTACACTTTACATCATCATTTAGTGACCAAGAGGCCGGCCTTTTATTATTGGAAGTAAAAGTCACATTAAAAACAAACAAAACCTTTGTACAAAGATAAGAGCATGGGTACAAGTTACTTAGAATTGCATTCACCAGAGCTGCTGATTAAAAAAGTTTCAAATCAGTTTTAGTTACAATTCAATGCCGGAAAAGAATACTAGAAATCCAAGTTTTTTTAAAAAGCAAGTTGTGTACAAAGACTAAGGCCACCTTTAGTAACTGCTGCTTATCAAAAGAACAAGAAGAAAGTCCTTAGGAAAAAAGAAGGAAGAGAACACTGTGGGCAAAATCTCTTTTGGTCTTTGTAACTCCCGGGTCACAAAGAGTATCTACACAAAGAATGGTAGGAGTGAAGCTTAGAAGTAAAATATTGATGCGAAGAGAGTCAGCATTTCATGTGATGTTTTCTGAATGAGTTAAAGCAAAACTGTATGTCCCCTATAAAGATATGGCTACTGAAATTATTTGGAAGCTACAGTAATATTTGGAGTTATTTTGTAGAAAACAGGGCTTAGCCTTTCCTCCCCCAACTATATTTCTCTTCTGGTAATAGCCCTAAGGTTAAAAAAAAAAAAAATTTTTAAAAAAGTTTTTGTTATAATTTGAATCAAACCAATTTTTTAAAAGAACAAGTGAATTTTGGTCCCTGAACTCTATAAGACCTCTCTAGGAGGTCAGCCAGCTTTCACAGGCCATAAGCATCAACTAATACATTCTCAAACTAATTATCTTAAGCATACACCTCAATCCCACCACAACAGGCTCTGCAATATTATTTGGTCCACTATCACACATTCCAGCTACACCTGATTTCTGAGAATCCAGATGACCCAAATACCCCAAACCTTCGGTTTCACCTGGCAACCTACTCTGTCCTTCCCATGTCCTTTTTTATTTACCCCTTCCCTCCTCTGCCCTTCAAGGACTAAACTCTGCATCTTTATCCAACACCATTGTGAGGGCATGTGTTTTTAATGAAAGACAGACACACACAAGCTGATCTCAGTTCCATTGTTTATTTTTTGCATACTCTTTTCAATGTTAACTGATACTTTTATGTACATAAAGTATTTCTATGAACATCTAGATTGATGTTAATCAACTGGCTCATATTTGTTCAAAAATTATAAAAATAGATTTTCACTAAAATAAAGTGTACATGTGCATATATAAGCATGCACACAACCATATATACATGTATACACACACATATCACAAATTAAATTTAAATCTATTTTTAACTAATAACTTGAAAGTTTATCATTACATAATCATATCTAACTTCAAAATATTTTGCCTATCACTATTTCAAGTAGTTGAACTTCAGTTTAAGTAACAGCTCAGACGGGGTACTCACCTGCTCAATAAGTTCTCTGACGTTTGTTAGATTCTTCTGTAGGTGAGTCTGCCAACCTTACTTTAAGTCTGACACCATTCACAATCTTGCCGTGTAATGTAGTTATGGCATCACTGGCACTTGCTCTGTCTGCAAATTTTGCATAGCCCACATTTTTTCCAGCCACAAGGTAAACTTTTATCAAGTGTCCAAAACGACTGGGGGAGGAAAAGAAAAAAAAAAGATAATTTACAGGTTTTGCTGCAACATAGACACCTATTATCCAATCTGAAGTATATATGATTTGGTAGCTGCAAAAAATATATTCTCATATGTACGCTGTATTTTCTTGTGCTGCCCTCTTCCAAAACTCCCAGTTTTCATATTCCCTTCTCTAGAATTCCAGGCAGAAATAGAAACAAAACCAAAAGTTTGTAGGCAATATTTTCCATGGACTATTACAATAGAACCACAAGCACCAGTGATTTATCTCTTATTTAAAAGAATATGTAAAGTTAATCAATACCATAGTCCCCAAACACTAAATGGCACTCAAAAAAACCACAAAACCCAAACAACAGAAAACCCAAACCAACCAAAAAGCGCACACACAAACCAGCAGATAATTCAGAGGCTAAACTTGCATCTCACTTAAATGAACCTGCTCAGTTGCGATTCATCTTGAAAAGGTCTCACTGAAATGACTCAGAAAGCAAGCGCTAAAGCTTTACGGAAAAACTTTTCCAAGTCCTCAGGAGATTCCTAGACAGTTCCTTAAAAAAAAAAAAACGTTTAAAAAAATAAATAAAGTCTGCTTGCTTCATAGCGAAGTTATACAAGTGTCAAGACTAGGGTGCATAGCCTTTTTCTTCTACAGCATCTGATTAAGAAAATTCAGTATATCAAATAGGTACAGTTTTAAATTCCACACAAGTGCATATTGTTTCTTTTCTTCTCCTAGTGCTTTGAAAATATTTTGGCTTTCCAAAGATTTATTGAAAATGCCAGCTATTAGAAAAGGGAAAGGTCTTTTTCTTCAAGAGTATACTAAAGATAAATAATATAAAATACTGGAGAACAGCTGAACTATAGCTTTGTTTTAAAGATGGCAAAAATTGCCTCTCAAGTCTTTGCTCCTCATAGGGAGATAGTGTGAAAGGACAGTTGAAATAGTGTCAATAAGACACAAGCCATCAAAATGTCTCAGGATATATCAGAAAAAAAACCTCCCTACACTTACTCCCCTAAATTACTGTGGAAATTTATCAAAACACTTAAATTCCTTATAGAAATATGTACAAGGAAATGCCAAATAAATTAGGCTGTAAGAACTGGAAGTACCACATTTTTTGGTTAAAAAACATTAAGAGACTAGGCATTTTACTTCAGATTATGTTAATCAATAATAAAGCTGCTGTACTGATGACATTGCATCTATGCTTCAAGGTGAATTCCATTACACACTTGGTTCAAAAAGCAACTGTTACCTATTGATCACTTATTACTTATTGATCACTGTGCACTGTCTTTTCTGGAAAGAGTTTTCATGATGACAATCTTTTTATTTATTTTAAATATTTCATGGTTATTTTTTTGGTTAGAGAACGCTTATTTGTAAATGGCGTCTTACCAAAACACATCCTCCAATACATTTACAGGTAAAGGATGGGGATGAAAGAGTATGAAAAGCCTTTCCTTCACAGAAGTGTCAGGTGGAACTTTTTTTTTGTGTGGTGGAAGTATGGCATCTGTTTGGGGCTGAAGTAACTGTGAGCCAGAAGTTCCTCCAAATGCCTGCTGAAACAGGGGAAAAAACGCAAGTATAAGTTAACTGATGGGAGGGGGGGAAGTCATTTTACCTTATTTACAATTTTTGTTCCTATCACAGGACATAAACAGGCTCTACCAGTTCTCATCTTAATTTGTTTACTTTGGTTATTTCATTAAATTGGACAATAAAGCCAAGTAAGGTTAGACACCTTTACAGGGAATAAAAATGTACAAACCAACCACAGGCACATCTTAAAAATGTAGCATCTAAAACAGTTACAGAAGAAAGTGAGCAGTGTTCTTTATTGACATATATGAAGTTTCTTAAAACAATTCAGAATAATATTAATGGTATCCATTATATTAACTTACAGGAGGTGTCCTATACTGTTGAACAACTGCATTGTTATTCCGCAACACTGATGACACATGTGCTGTTACCAGCTGTGTTGCCATTTTTCTGATGAGGCTGCAAGCAGAAGTGGTAATAAACTATTTTAAAGAAAGAGCTAAGTTACAGTAATCTTAAATTCAGCAAGAGAAAATAAGTTTTAATGCACATCTGAAAGTATCTCTGGAAATCTGTAAACTCATGTAGATAAGGAAAATCAACTCAGGCTTTCATGACACTCTAGACATGATCTGAAAGTATGCATGCTAGCTGCAACTCACTGAAAACACTCATACATTTCTACATATAGAGATACAAAACTCTTCTTTGCTTTTTTTAATACTCTAGGGGGGAAAAGTAAAAAAAAAAAAAAAAAACAAACACTCTACAGAGCCCACTACATTTAGTGAAAGGTGCCTAAAAGGCAGAACAGACAGAAAAATTTCACCTGTTTCAATAAAGAGATGGAGATTCAATTCATAATATTATCACAGAAAGTTTACTTCCAGCTCTCATTTTCCAGTAATTGTTCTTTGTTCTGTTGCGGAATAAGAAAAAGCAATTGCACTTTTTGCATAGATTCATAGCCCATGTCGTAGGCCCATGAAATAGTAGAAACTATTGAAGAATGAAGGAAATTGTTTGGAAGAAGGATGGTTGCAATGAGTTGGGTTTTTTTTAGTTTAGATCAGGCATGCACTTCTGAAGTGAATCTCCCCATTGTCCCTCCTTATTGTCCTCATTCATATCCCAGAATAGGTTTAACACGAACTAGATTGCTTTAGGATGAAACTAAGCCAAAATATTCACTGCAGGAGTGTACCTAAGCTGCCCCAACTTGTAATGGGCATTCAAGTCACAGGAACAGATTAGAGATGGTCAAAGTAAAACCTGACGATCCCCATACAGTGGGGATATCAGATCTTCAGCACCCAACAGTTTTACGCTATATATGTGCTTCACAGGGCTACTATTTGCAGTACTGCAAACACAACCAAGAGATCAAGTAGATAAATCTGGTTTTAGTACAAAAAACTCAAACACATTCCAGCCTTGTTACATATTAGAGACATTTACAAAGATTCTTGCCAAATCCAAGATTTTCCAGTGTATCTTAAGAGTATGTATTTTAACCTTTTCTTTATCAAAGACTAGTAAGTTTCAAAAGGGTTATTCTAAACCATTCAAAAAAACCCCAACACACCTAAGTTTCAGAAAATACTATCTACAAGTATGAAACAAGATCACAGTGACATTGCTGTTACTTCTTATGTTAAAAATTCATTTATTTTAAGTTTTGCTCTCCAGAACACAACTTACAACTTTCTATCTCTATGTGTTGGTACTTACTCTGAGCTATCACTCCCATCTTCTAGGAAAATGACAGTTAATCGATTTCCAGGAGGATACTCAAAACCGTGTAATTTATACTTGGCATATATAGCTGACGCAGCAGTACTGTACTGAATCACAGCATACCCTACAAATACAGTGCACACAGTTTCAGTATGGTATGAGTAAATCCTAAGAACAAACTACAGTCACATAAAGCAATATGATTAAACTGCACATTAGTCATGGATGATACAAAATTCTTCAGTCTTTTTACCAAGCATTCTGTTACTTAATAGCAACATCAGTAGTATTTGTGAAGAAAACTTCAGTGGAATTAACTAGTGACAGATCAGCTATATTTATGCTAACTTGAAAAGCTGGTAACAAAGCAACACAAGTTAAAATATGTCTTCTTCCCTAACCCTGAATTAGAAACAAAAACATATACAGTTTCATTTTAAAATGCAATTATCCCACCAACAGTGAATCTCAAGTACTGTAAAGTTACATTTTAACTCTCTGAACCATTTCCATTTCAAGCTTCTTGGAGAAGAGACCTCTTCCACATTTTTCTCAGCAACAGCAAAACAACCGGAAGACTGAAACCAAAACATTCCTTCCAGTACAAAACATGATTTGTTTTGGAATGATTTAATCCAGTTTACTAACGTCAGCTTCTATACACAGACACACCACCACCACCCCCATTTCAAGATGAAAACTCAAAAGATCCGTTTAGACAACATTTAAACTAGCTGTCTAATAATTTCTGAAACTTTCTCCATTTACTCTGCCCAAAACTATTAACTTAATTTGGCCAAAAACCACTTCTCATGGTTTTGAGTCTGTCCTTCTTGAGATTCTATTATCTGAAAATGAAGGTATTTAAGGCTATCTGTAAACATGGGTTCAAACAAAACTGAATTTTGGGGTTTATGCATCAGTGATAGCAGCAACCATTGATACATAATACATTAATTCTTTCCAAAAAGTGTACTGTATTTTGCAATACAAATGAATTGAAGTACAATTAAAAGGCATTCCCTGCATAGAAAGGAAAAAAAAAAAAAAAAAATCTTTTTGTGCGTTTACTTACCACTGTTGGTATGAGGATCTCGCTGAACATCACAATATTCCAGTCCTGGGACTAGATCAAAGAGGGCAAACAGCTGCTCTTGGATAAAGGGAAGCCGCGATACCACTGACAGACGTTTGGAGACCGACTCTTGAATTCTGCTCTCATTTTTTTCAAAACTACAAAACTCTGGCTGCCCACCTCAAGAATCAACATAAAAATAAATAATTCGAGTCATCACACTAGCATGCTTTCATTTCATTCATGTTTTTCATTCAACTTTTAAAAGTAATCTAAGTCAATTATATACTAAAGGTAACGTGTTTATTTCACCAATGCAGGTCACAAAATAATCAACCAACTAGAGCAAAATGAGCCATAAAAATATAGAAACAAGCCAGGCATTTCATTTCTAACTCCAACATCCAATCTACTATTTAAGTGTTGACCTAAGTCTCCGTTAGCTTCCCTTCTTCCAAGCTGCATTCTTACTTTGTGACTATACTCAAGACTACAAATCATTTTTAGTATTAAAAGCTGCGACTTACAAAACGGAAGTGTATTTCCTCTTGGTTCTTGCCTCGTGTTATTACTATAATAATCATGTTCAAAAGACTCAGATGACTTATTTTTAGGTTCAGCCAAAATGGCCCTGTAGCCTGAAAGAAACAACCACACATTATAGCAACACCTCAGCACACCTGAATTATCTGACTGGATCTGCATTCTCCAAGTACTGTATTTAGAAGCATATTATTCAGAAAACCCAGTAAGTGCTGGCTTTAGGAAAATAACTAATCTATAACTCTTGAAGTCTGCCATAATAACTGTGTGACAGTTAAGAACTTCCACCTAGAACTACTCCTAGTCACAAGTTAAGCACAACAGAGCCTACTTGCTGTGAGAATGACTGTGCCCTGGTACAGGTTGCCCAGAGAGGTCATGGAGTGTCCGTCCCTGGAGATATTCAAAAGCCATCTGGACGTGGCCCTGGGCAACCACAGTGCCCAGGTGACCCTGCTTGAGCAGAGGGGTTGGGCAAGACAACCTCCAGAGGCCCGTTCCAACTTTGACCATTCTGTGATATTTGGCAGGATTCAGAGGTGCTCCAGAGGCGATCACCTGAACTTCCATGCTGTAACAGCAGTTTACATATGTTTTGCACCGATCTAGGTTTTGGTTTTATGAAATAAATTACTCTCAGGCTATCCAACTAATTTCATTTTAACCTCACAGCAAGAAGGAAATAAAGTTTAACTTAGCAGTTTAACTGCTAAGTAACCTCAGACTCATATTCCTATGCAAGAATTGTCACAAATATTTTTGTAGAACCACTTGTGATAGATGTGATATAGAACCACCACATGTATTCCTGGAGGAAAAGAAAAAACCCACACAAGAATAACAAAAAAACAACCACACCCACACACCAAGTTGTTTCGTATTTGTGATTAAGCGAACATTGAACAGGAGGTTGGACTGGAAGGCTGCTGTTAGGTTTCCCCAAAAGCCTTTCTTCTCCTGGATGAGCAAGCCCAGCTCCTTCCATCCTCTCCTCATAAGTCACATGCTTCAGTCCCTGACCACCTTGGTGGCCTTCCACCAGACTCACTCAAATTCATTAACACCTTTTTGGTACCAGAGCATAAATGACAAATGGTTGGTCATAAAGCATACAAAGTCTTTCATTCTGTAACAGATTAACCATGACATTAAATGAAAACAAACGAAAAACCCCCCCAAACTTCAGTTAGGATGAATTTGTTCTTACATAAACATAATCACAACAGAATCCCTATGGATTATTAAATGTATTTTTATATATAAGTTCATCTTATATCAAATATATTTTGTTAAAAATGCATATTCCCAGGGATACATTAAAATGAGGTTTCCCTGTATATGAAGCCTACATTACAGGCCAACAATAACACATGAAAGAAAACTCTGTATCGTTTCCAAACTCTTTTCACTGATCTTTCTTGCAGGTCCAAACTGCAAGTATGTAATCAGGTGACTGTACTCAATGAATGTTAATAATACTATTTTTTATGTGCAATAGAACTTTGTCTCAAGATGCGTTTACATCATAAATAATTTACCTGCAAACAAAACTAGAAGTTAAAAGTACATGAATGATGATACACACTTATTGTGAAAAACTTGAAAGAACTCAGTCAGATTCTTACTTCGATCACACTCTTCAATTGCTCGGGCAGCTTGCGATGGTTTTAAATACCTCACATAGCCCAAACCTTTACTTTCTCCAGTAGTCTTGTTTTTAATAATGCTGCAATATTCAATGTCTCCATACATCTAGAACAATTAAAAAGCATGTTAATTTACAATATTTGAAAATGCATTAAAGTTCCATGCGTTAAGCCCTCTGATAAATTAGGACAAAGGCAATTTAAAATAACAATTAACAAATAGCAAAATCAGTACCTTAAACTTCTCTCGCAGATCTTCCTCTGTATAGGATTTTGGTATCATAACAAAGATTCGTGTAAGCTCCTCATCTTCAACATCTCGGTGGCTTCCAGAAGCTCTTGACTGTGCAATAAATACCTAGTGAAATAATTACACAGACATTAATTACTGGAGAAAGGGTCTTAACCACATATCAAAAAGCAAGAAAAACAGTTTGTTTTAACAAGTCTTTGTATTTATCTTTCACATAAGCTAGCTTTCCTAATATGGAAAAAAAGAACATCTCTGATCATAGATGCATCTGTGACAAAAGACCTACAAATACAATACACCCCGAACAGGACAGAGGCCAGCAGAAGTTCTCACTGGGGATAATGAAGAATGGTCAGGAATATCAAAGCCTGATTCAGCAGCACTGCCAATGTCACAGATAGCATGTGAGGTAGCAAAAAAGGCATTACTGCAACAGGCCTAGTATAGCAGTAGTAACAGAAAATAAGCAAGCAAGCAAGCAAACAAACAAGCCTAGCAGCTTATTAAAGCCTTGCTACTGCAGTTCACTGCTCAGTTGGGCCAAAGTCTGCAGGTCTAGTGCTCGATGAAGGATCGTAACTTCTCACATCTGTAACTGTTAAAATCCTTTTTAATTAATGAAATTAATTTAATCTCAGAAGTGCACCCCAGAAGACAAGCAGGCAAAAAAAAACCCACAAAAAAGCAAACAAACCCAAAACAACCAAATAAGAAAAATACAGACAACCTTCAAAGTAGGCCTCTTATGCAAAAGCAGCAACTGATTTCACAGAGCTCTTAAATTATTTTTCTAACAGTCATGCAGGGGAGTAAGGAATAGAACTCTGATCTTCTGGCTTCTAATGACAAGTTCTTCAGAAAAGATTTTACTGACTCAATTGCTTTTTCAAATGAAACACACGGAATCTTCTTCCACTGTTCAAAGTCATTCATATCTTCTCAGTACTTGGGTAATATGAAAACAATTCAAGAGGTTGAAAGCTGCCAGTGAGCTCCGTAGGTAAAAAAACCAAAACATAATTGTTTTGAAAGAACTGCGCACAAGATAGAAAACCAATATAAAATATACTTGCAAAACCAGTTCTATTTATCCACGTTGATCTTGCTTACAACACTTAAAATATACTGTCTTAAAATATTTCACAGAGATTCCCTCAAGGTTAAAAAGAAAGGAAAAGCTAGTTTCCAGGTACTGCATTTCCTCCAGGCCTGTTGCAGCTTACGCCACACGTGGGAACTTCAGGCAAGGGTGGTACTCACTGCAGCTCCTCCTGAAGAGCACCGCCAAGCCCGCAAGCCCCGCAGCCCGAAACCGCCCCGACTTTGACCCGAAAGGGTGACAACGTCAGCACCTGTACGTGTGGAGAGAAGGCCACAAGGAGCGGGTTTGGCGCTCTCCCGGGCGGCTCGCTGCCTGCCGCTAAGCGAGGCGGCCAGCTCGCTGCGGGTTTTCCAGGGCTGCTCCAGGCGGGCCTCCGCCACCGGCCGCCCCCACAGCCCGCACCCCGCTGAGGGGCTTCCCGCTGCGCCGCATAGGCCAACACCACCTTCAACCCGC